GCCTTTGTAGACTGGGGATTCTGAACTTAGACTCCCAGATAATAGGCTGTTACTGACCACTATACATTGCTCTCTCTCTATTCTTGCACTGCCTTATAGGAGTTGTAGTTATTTCTCTGGGGAAAACTCTAGTTTTGTAGTCAAACACATAGTCCTCAGTGTGTGTCAGGATGCTTTCTCATGTTCTTGACCAGCACACAAAGCAATTTATGTACAAAAAGCTTGCAACGCCCAGCCTTTTAATGTTTTACCCTGGGTCCTAAGCTCAGAATGTCAATAAATCAAAAGTAGGTTTGCAGCTTACAGATCCACACCTGAACAGCATACTCAATATTGCTACAGCACAGATTTTGATGTAATAATTTAGGGCAAGAGGTGTCAGTTATCAGAGACTGTTAAACAAAATATTGCAAGAATGCTAGTGTTTTAAGCATGTTTTATTTAAAGTTTTAAAAAATCTTTGTGTTTGTGTCCTTTATAAAGGTTATATCTCCGCTACCTGGCATTACATTTTATGACACACATGGCCCGGCCCAACACAGTCTCATTTATGTCAGATATGGCCCTCGACATCCCTGGACTAGATGGACCACTGGTCTGATCCAGTAGAGCTCTTCTTATATTCTTAAGGGTGCCCTGCAGTGAGCCAAGGACCTTGGCAGCTAACACACCTCACTGACCCAATGTTGGACCTCTACTATGTTTATTACTGCTCTTAATTGACCTCTACTATGTTTATTACTGCTCTTAAAAGCAACAGCTCCTACTAATTTATATGAAAATAATTCCATGTCCACCTTAAAGAATGAGTCTGTTACACAGGTTACAAATGGTGAGATTTAGGTGTTAAACTACATAGTATGTCATGCACGGGCACTTTATTCTTAGAACTTAGAGTTGGAGATTTGTAACTGTATATTGTAAGGTCCAACATTTTCTTGAACATTAAACAGTCGATTAGAGAAGGGGAGATTTGGATTGAAGCCAAAACACAGGTAAAAGGTTGAAGGAGACTAGTTAAATTCATGGAGAATTGATCCATTGGTGGCTACTAGCTATTATAGCTAAGGAAAGCCTCCATGATCTGAAACAGTAAACCTCTGAATGCGAGTGCTGGGAGGCAGTACTGGGTTTAAGGCTTCAACCTTTGTATCCTGTTGTCAGCCCTCTGAACAACTGGCTGGCCACTGTGTGGGCTAGAATGCTGGACTACATGGACCACTTGTCTGATCCAGCAAGGCTCTTATGTTCTTAACTGTCCTTCTAGTGCAGTTTCCTGAATAAAAATACTCCCTTGGTCACAGTAAAAGTGCTATGGGGGAACAAATAATCTTATTGCTCCTGAGTTCTTTGACGGGAGAATAGGATGCAAATCAAGAAATCAGGCAAAAAAAAATATTGTCAAATACAAAAACTGAGGGTCACAGTGTTAGGAAGACATACAAAAATATATATCACTGTGTACAATAAATATATGCTTATGGTAAAACAATTTTATTCTTTATTCTTTTTATATTTTTCAATACTATTGTCTAAATATTGGTATCAAATATTATCAAAAATGTATTTCACCCAAACAATACATAGAGAAAAATGTTTCACCCAAACAATACATCGAGTGCAGGTTTACATTCAGACAGCACCTTGTCAGTAACACTGTCACTAGTCCCACAGGATTCTAGTAATTTACTTGTTTCGAATGAATCTTTTTCAAGGACTGTGATGTTTATATAAAGGACATAAGGTGCAATATTTTTTCTTTGTGAGCACAAAAGCTCTTAAGCATTGTCTGGGGTCCGGTCAGAACTGAAATGAACAAAAATATTAATACAGCAATACAGTTTCATTCCACCTTATTTATAATTATTAAAATTGTGAAAAGAGCTCACTTACCCCTTGTGGCAAACATAATAACCTATCTAAGACAGCAATCATAACCGTTCTAACAAAGTTTTAAAGTATCCATACTTATTTTACAACAATATCCCAATACAAAGTACCAATATGGTTAAATAATTTGTTTTTTCCTTGGGGCCTCATCCTCATTAAGATCCTATGATTTGGAGCAGCCATAGCATTTGTTTTAAAAGACTTCATGTACATCTCACGATAATATCCTAATGCAGACCGTCATAATACTGGTATAGAACTATCCAATGAAACATGAGAGGTCCATTTCTTAATTCAATCCATTTGGGACCATCATATCTAATCTATGTATCCAGTAGCATTCTCTCTGTGCCAATAGTCTGTCAATATCCACACATTGGTATTTAACAGCTTGATATTTATAAATAACAAAAAAGTGTAAATCATCCAGAGAGTGCTGGTTATGATTGCTCCTAATTGCAGGATTTTGATGAGCAGAAGCCCCAAAGGAATGTTTGTTTGGTTTTTTGGTTAAACCACACCAGTCTTATGACTATCTGTAGTGTTGATAAATAAGCATGGGCACTTAAGGGTTATGGCTGCTCTAAACTGTAGGATTTCAATACGAATACAGCCCCAAGAGAATGTTTATTTTATGAATGGTGTTTTGGAACAAGGATGATAAAACACATGGGCACTTTAAGGAAAGGTGTTCTTGACACAGCTGCTCCTGATTATGAGGCTTGAAATGAAAGAAATAGACAGAGCAAACCCCCAAATTTGTGGCTACCTGATAGAACTTGAAAGATATGCTGTCTTAGATAGGTTATTATGTTTGCCACAAGGGGTAAGTGAGCTCTTTTCACAATTTTAATAATTATAAATAAGGTGGAATGAAACTGTATTGCTGTATTAATATTTTTGTTCATTTCAGTTCTGACCGGACCCCAGACAATGCTGGTATCTTAAGAACTTTTGTGCTCACAAAGAAAAAATATTGCGCCTTATGTCCTTTATATAAACATCACGGTCCTTGAAAAAGATTCATTCGAAACAGGTAAATTACTAGAGTCCCATGGGACTAGTGACAGTGTTACTGACAAGGTGCTGTGTGAATGTAAACCTGCACTCCATGTATTGTTTGGGTGAAACATTTTTCTCTATGTATTGTTTGGGTGAAATACATTTTGATAATATTTGATACCAATATTTAGGCAATAGTATTGAAAAATATAAAAAGAAAAAGAATAAAGCATAAAATTGTTTTACCATAAGCATACACTCTACACAGTGAAATATATTTTTGTATGTAAAAATATATATTGTGGCAACAAGCATTCATTTTCTGATAAAGTGGGTCTAGCCCACAAAAACGTATGTCACAATCTATATACTAATAGCCAAGTCCCCTCTGCATGTAGATACATTTCTGCAGATAGGGGGCATACTCTCCCCCAACAGGTTTTTCTACAGACTCAAGAGACTCCCTTGGTCTGCATAAAAATCCAAAAACTGTTCTAAAAACCTCAGGGAGGGCTGAATCTCCCACCAGAGAGGGGGGGAGGGTAAGCAAAGGCAGGACTGGAGCACTTGTATTGGGAAGGATTCCTCCTGTAGTATGAATGGCTACATAGCAGGGGATTTGGAGCCAGTCCTGGGACTAGGATTGCCCACTCCAGGTTTTGAAATTCCTGGAGATTCTGTGGTGAAGTCTAAGGAGTGCAGAGTTTGGGGAGGGGAGCGGCCTCAGCTGGACAGAATGCCAAAGAGTCCACCCATATTCTCCAGGGGGGCAGATCTCTGTTATCTGGAGTACAGTTGTAATTCTGGGGGATCTCCAGGCCCTACCTGGAAGCTGGCAAACCTAGGCCTAGCAGCACCCTCTGGGTGAGTTGATACCACCTGATTTGCATGATTCAGTTACACCTGGCTGCTTGCTACTGTTCAACAGCAGCTACCCTATGAAAGTCAGTGTAGTATAATGGTTAGAGCTTCAGAGTACGTTTTGTGAAACTGAGGTTTGAATCCCCATCTTGCTGTGGAAACTCACTGGGTGATTTTGGACCAGCCACATACTTTCAGCCTAAACTACCTCATAGGGTTGTTGCGTGGATAAAAAGGAGAGAATAATGTAAACTACTTTAATCCCCACTGTGGAGAAAGGGATGTCAACTCCATGTTCGGAAATTCCTAGATATTCGAGGGATGGAGCCTGGGGATGGTGGGGATTGTGGCAGGGAGGGACTTCATACAGATACAATGTCAGACTCCACCCTCCAAAGCAGTCATTTCCTCCAGATGAACTAATGTTGCCAACCTCCAGGTGAGGGCTGGAGTTCCCCTGGAATTACAACTGATGTCCAGATGACAGAGATCAGTTCCCTTGGAGAAAATGGCTGCTTTGAAGGGTACTGTTTATGGTATTATATCCTGCTGAGGTCACTTCCAAGCTCAAACCTCATCTGCTCAAGGCTCCAGCCCCAAGTTTCCAGGAATTTCCCAAAATTGAGCTGGTAACCCTAAGAGAAACTGATCTCTGTATTTGAGCAATCCGTTGTGATTCCTGGAGAGCGGCTGCTGCCACTGCTGCTGTGGGGGGGGAGTAGGTGGGAGGCAGGGGCAGAAAGAGTGATGGGGTGAGGGCAGAAAGGAAGTGACAGGCATGGAGGAGAGAGAGAAAATGGGTAACAGGAAGGAGAAAGAATGTGAGAGAAGTAGGGGGAGAGGGGGAGAAGCAGAGGTGGGGGGGATAGGATAGCCACTCCTGCAAGTTTCTTGTGGATCCCCACTTATAAATCTTTTAAGATGCCACAGTTCTGTTGTTTCTGATGCTATGACACAAACATTATTTTGTTTCTGTGTAGCACTTTATCACTGTATCTTAATTTTAAATTGATAGAAAACTGTACCTTCTCTACATATCTATACTCCAGAAAAGGTGAAAAAAGTGATAGATGTGGTATAGTGCCAAGCTCACCTGCCTTTGCCTGATGCCTGCTACATCTGCTAAAGTCATATGTAAAGTTAACTGTTTAAACTGCATATCTGGCTCTCTCTGTAAGAATACCTCTATTCCAGTATACACTTACACACAAATTGTCACCCATTCTAACTCTGCTCCTATCTAATACCTGCATCTGAAGGCAGCACTGTGAGAGGCACGTCTTTCGTTTCAATTTTCACTGAAGGCTCCAGCAAAGACTGCATTTTAAGGGGCACTTGTGTCACAGGCACTTTAGTCACTCTTATGAGCTCTGATGGAGATGGGCCTTGGAACTGGATCCTGGCCCCAGGAGGGACTGGATGGAGCGTCATTGGAATTTTCAGTTCTTGAGGATGCTGCACTCCAAAAGGCTGAGATGAGGCAGCATCTTTGCTCACATGAGCTGGGCCATTGGAGGATGCTTGAGGCTTGGATGCCACCTCTTCTCTCCCCTGATAGTCCTCATCAGGAGGCTCCACCAGTTCAGCTTTGATGGGCTCTTCTTTTCCAGACGTCAAGGTTTCAGCATCACAATTTTCTGTACTGTTTGCCTCTTCTTTGTTCTCCTCTGTCTCTTCTGCATCCCCCACTTTGATTTCCGCGGCCCTCTTTGTTTTGCCACTATCCAGGGTCTGGCCCTCATCCTTCCCTCCACGACAGGCTGCAGCAGCTTTGTGGTCCCCTCTCCTCTTGTTGTTGCTGTTGCTGGTCAAGAGCGCCTGGCTGTCTTGCTCTTGCTCCTCACCTCTTGCTTGCCCCTCCTTCTCCTGGACCTCACCCTGCTCCTCAAAATCCACAGGCTCCAGACCAACGATGGGCTGGAAAAGCTGCCTGCTGAGGCAAGCCTGTTCCCCCCAAAGGTGCTGCTGCTGCTGCTCTTTGCAGGAGTCTTCTCCTGGCTGTGGAGGTTTCCCCTCCCTGTGGAAGGCACTGGGCTTGGGGGACAGGGGTTGCAAAAGGTGATGCTGGATGCCTTGCTTAGGGGGGAAGAGCAACAGGGGAGAGTCCTTGGTCCCCTGACCGGATAGAGGGTGCAAGATCAGGTGGTCCATGCAGGGAGTGCCCTGCAAAGCTGTGGGATGCAGGAGGCGATGCTGCTCTCGGAGGCTTTCTTCCTGCACCCCTTTTTCCATGCTGGAGCCCGCCCCCGGGAGTGGGATTGTTGTGGGATTATGAGCTCAGCCGCCTCCCTCTGTTACCGCCCGTTTGTTTCCTGCGGTTGGTTTGCAAACGTTCTCAGCTCGCCCTCCCCCACTCTAAGAGGCACGCCCAGCGCTTAGACTCCGCCTTCAGGCTCGCGGGAGCCTCGCGCCGCTCGAGCCGCGGCAAGAAATGACACCCGTGGGGCTCCACGTGTCTCCTAGTTTTCCCTCCTTCGGCCTGTTTCCTGGAGGTCGCCATGGTTACCTCGAGAGTCGCGTCACAATAAGGTCGCCAGGGAGACCCATTGAAAGTATGCTCCCCCCCCCCAAGTGGCCCTCCTTTCCCCCATCATGTTATTTGGCGCTGGGCGGGTTTCCATCCCATGTGAACTGGGCGGGCTCTCAACTTTAACGAAGCAGGTAAAAACAAACAAGAAACGTAAGTGGCAGGAGGATTTCTAGCCCTGCGCGACTATTTGCACCGGTACGTGCCCCGCCCCGCAGAAGAGCTACTTTGACTTATTTTCGGCGCAAGGATGTTCAAGCAGTTTGAAGAGGTCGCCTCCCAGCGGTATAAGGGGAGGATGCTCTTGTATAGCCCCTTGCGGACGGAGAGAGCTTTAATGTGAGCCAAGGCGCCGACATTCGAAGCCTGGGAGTCACAACCAACATACATGCGCGGAGGAGAGGCTCTCAGCCTCTGTCCCTTCAGTTTTGGGACGCTACAGCCGGGCCGGCTTCCCTCCCCCCGGATAATTCCACTGGGGTAGCCGAGTTAATCTATTACATAAAAATCCCGCCCACCCTTATTGGCAGCTAAACGGTTAGCGTCGAAGACTCTGCATCACCATAGAGACGGGCGCTAGACTCGCTCCCTTCCGGTTGCCGCTTAAGGCTATTTCCGCTGATGTTCGCGCGGCCTAGGCTTGTTGGTGCGCTTACTGCAGCCGCCTCCGCCGTTGCTCTCGGGAGCCGCGCGGGGTTCGTTTGCGGCCGCGTCGCCATGGCAAAGAGCAAGTTCGAATACGTGCGGGACTTCGAAACGGACGATACCTGTTTGCCCAACTGCTGGGTCGTGGTCCGGTTGGACGGCCGCAGCTTCCACCGGTAGGGCCCGCTTCTGCCATTGGCGGCTTCCGCGCTTCTTAACGGTTGCCATAGGCAACGACGACTCCTGTGGGAGTGAGGCGGCGTGAGGCGGGGGACATCTGCGCTCAGTATTCCAGGGCGGGGGCAGGTGGTTATGATTTTAAGACGCCGAAGCTAGTAAGCCCCCTTCCGTGCCAGACCAGTGACCGATGTAGGGTGCAGTTAGATTGGATGGCAGTACCTTGGGGTTGAACTTTGATCCTTTCCCACTTTTAGTTTTCTAACCAGTACAACCCGATACATTATTGTATTCGTTTAGTTTTCTAAAAGGAAAAGTTGTATGAGATCACCAGTACAACCCGATACATTATTGTATTCTAAAGATTACGGTCTTTGCTTTCTGATTAGCTGTGAAACTATGCAGTGCGCGTTTGCCCGAAGTACATAAGGTAGTGCTGATTTTTGAAAAAGCTGGGAGTGTTTGAATTAAGTGTCCAGAACGTGTAGTTGTTCCCATACATTGCATTAAGATACCTATTTCCCTTCATACGTCTATGCTTGTGAACACAACGTCTTGTACCAATGTGTCTACTACCACCTTGACCCTGTCCACTTCCACACTGTCATTTTTGTCACTCGCTTGTCCCTATTGCTTCAGGGTTCTCCCCCCTCCCCATGTGTTTTGCTCTCTCTAGTAGTCCCAGAGGGAGGAAAACACATGTGGAAAGGGGGGGGGGACGGGACCCAAAGGAATAGGGACAAATGAGTGACCAAAATGACAGTGCAGAAGTGGCCCCTGTTGAGACAGGTTGACCAGAATCTACAAATCTGTACATTTGTATGGGTTAGCTAATTCTGAAAAGTATTTCCATTTCTGCTTCCATATTAATGAAAAAAATGAAAGGATGTCTGCAATAGCAAGACAGTTGTTTCCCCTTGTTGTGGAAGATACTGGATGATTTGTGAGTTTACTACTGAAGGTCTTAAAATTGTCTCAGACTATTTTTTAACTATTTTTAAAGTACCCATGGGTTGTCTTACAGGCTTCAGCAGGTACAAATGTGATGAAGATGAGTCCAGCTGTGTCATTTTGAATAGTTTTGACATTAAGTTTCCCTAATACATGTATTTTTCCCCCTCTCTGAAGTTTTGCTGAGCAGCATGGTTTCAGGAAGCCCAATGATGACCGTGCCCTTCACTTAATGAACAAATGTGCACAAACAGTAATGCAGGAGCTAGAAGATATTGTTATTTCTTATGGACAAAGTGATGAATACAGCTTCGTTTTCAAAAAAAGAAGTAATTGGTTTAAGAGGCGATCTAGGTAACTGGCTTTCCACAATATATACCTTGTTGTATAGATATTAGCAAATTTGCTCCTATAAGTCTTACACTGTTTTCTAATCTTGGGGTGGGTCAGGTGCTATCACATTAGAGTAGCGGTAGTTTAGGGAAGCTAGTAAATGTATTCATGTAAAGGGGAGAGCAGAAGGTAAATCTTAGCACTTATATTTGCATCCATTTTAGTCGCATGCAGGCAGTATCCTTGGGTAAGGTACTGACTGCAGCCAGACGTATTTACAACTGGTGCTGTGCATTTCCTGCAGAAGCTATTATTCCAGGGCTAGGAGAGGCTTGTGACATTCTGTGTCCTAGCAGCTTTCTGCACCGCCAGGAAATGACTTGGGAGTCACATTTGTTTGGGCTTAGATGAGAAACTCTGTTCGCTGGAGACAGTTCCAACTGATGTTACTTGACAGGAACAGTTTTTGGATTGGCTGTTCTCCCAAGGCTTACTGTGCCTCCAGTAAGGACAATGGCAGTAGGAGCACCAGAGAGCTCAGCAGAGGCTTTAAAATCACTAGCTCCCTACATAACAACTGCTGAGTTCTGTCAGAAGTCATATTTCTTGCATTGGTATAAAGCTGCCTTGGAAGTCAGTTGGCTAATTGAAAAATGGGGGATTAACTTTTAAAATACTGTACGCTTCCTCTGAGGAAGAAACTATTTTTAAACTAGAAGTGTATTACATTATATGGCAGATAATCTGTAGTGTTGGTGATACTAATGTATCCTTTTTAATGTATCCTTTCTCCTTTTATTTTGTTTGCAAGCAAGTTCATGACTCATGTGGTTTCTCAGTTTGCTGCCAGCTATGTTTTCTATTGGAAAAATTACTTTGAGGACCAGCCTCTTTTGTATCCACCAGGATTTGATGGACGTGTCGTACTCTATCCTAGTGACCAGAATCTAAAGGACTATCTCAGTTGGAGACAGGCTGATTGTAAGCTTTTTTTTTTTTTGCAAACTAGGGAAATCCCCAAAGTCTCTTTTTTGTTGGGTTATTGGTTCATCATGGCCACAACCACAAAGGGTGGGGGGCTGCAACCCTACAACTTCGTGTAGGTCCTGTCCCTATATTAAAACAATGTTTATTTTAAAATGTCTTCAGCTTACACAGTTACAGAGATATAATAAAGCATATGCAAATAGTATTGTATTCAATTGTACAGGAGGATGTGAACCTGTTCTGTCTTAGGGTGATTTCCCACTAGCGCTGCTCCGGGCTCACTCTTCACTTTTGCCTCGATGGTAGGTGTCAATCTCACACAAGCTGCTGCGTGGCCGCATTTTGCCTTGCAGCTTCTTGAGATTTTCCCCGCCTCTAGTCAATCCTCAAAAAACAGGATTGAGTAGAGGCTGGGAAAATCGCACGAAGCTGCGAGGCAAAATGCGGCCGCTGAGCCCGGAGCAGCGCTAGTGGGAAATCACCCTTAGTGTTTCTGCAGTGAGTACAAGAACAATATGAAGGAGAAGGAGGCATGATTTCTGTACATCTTTTGTCAAGTACAACCGTTATCCCACCAGTTAACTTTGGCTGTAAACTTAATATATAATTTAAGCATATTAAACATGCATTTATTAACCAAGGCAAGAAAAGTAAATTGACAGTTTAAAATGTACCTGGTTTAAAAATATGTCCTGTGAATTTATAGTTGGATCCCATGCTGGACAATATGTTGCAGAAATAAAATTAATGTGTTTCTTTAAAAGGCTCATAGTGCTATTTGTAATATTTTTACTTGTTCAATATATTTCCCAACCCAGACTCTGAAATACTCTAATCATCATTGTTCTATTTGGTATTCTTGCAGGCCACATTAATAATCTATACAATACAGTATTTTGGAGTCTTGTACAGACGAGTGGCTTGACACCTGTGCAGGCACAAAAGAGATTACAGGTATGTAGCTGTAAGAGTCTTTATTTGGTACAAAGTTGTTAGTGGCTTGTGTTTAACACCAGCAGTGTCTGCAGTTCAAACTATTTCACACAAAAGGGTTCAAGTAAACTGAGTTTTTTAATGTGGTGATGTAGTATGCCATCTCTCCTAAGATCTGCTGCTCTTGTTCGAGTACTTATTTCTTTAGTTTTGTCCTTGATTTCAGGTAGTGAGGGTAATCAGCTAGTGAACAAATCATGGTCAATAAGAGTTATAAATAAGTTTGTAAGCTAAACTTTAATTCTTAGAATTATTAAAATTTAAAATGTTTCTCCATTAGGAAATTTCAGAAGCAAAACATTTAGATTGGACATTAAGGCTAGATTGTATGCTCTCACTAGTAATGGTGTAGTCATATCATGAAACAACTAGAATAACTAGATCACAGGTTGTATTTAAACCAAATAAAATGTTTCTAAACAAAACAAATAAGAAGAGTATATGTACTGAAAAATGTAACAGAATTTGTAAAAATACTAATTTCTAGGAATCAGAATTTTTTCTAATCTATATATTGGCTTTTGAAATTGTTAGTAATCAAGAGAAAAGCTTCGTTGTGAAATGGAGAAAAGCTTTAAGATATGTTGTGGATCTTAATATTTGGAAATATATACTATCAAAAGGGTCAACTTTTTTCAGTTAATTCAGGTGTCAGGGAGAACATTGTTACAATGTATATGATGTATTGTTCTGCAATTTTCATCCCACCGCTGCCACAATGTATATGATGTATTGTTCTGCAATTTATTGGTACTGTGGTGAAGTGGGTTAGCTAATTCTGTGACAAAGGTATGAAACGTTCTAGAAACAGCAATTGGTGAGGGTGTTTCAACTGTAATGGATCCAGGTGGGCAGCTGTGTTGGTCTTAAGCAGCAGAACAAAGTTTGAGTCCAGTGGCACCTTTAAGACCAACAAAGCGTTATTCAAGGTATGAACTTTTGTGTGCATGCACACTTTCTCAGATACATTGAAATGGAAGTTAGCAGTCCATACATATAGGCAGAGGGTGAACAGCAAATTAGCATACACCATAATGAAGCTGTTTTAACAGATGCAAAGACCAAACGGGAATAACAAGCTAAGTTGATATGGTCACCATTTGTTTGGATTTATTTATGGGGAGAAACACAGTGAAGCAAATAAAGATGTCAAAATAGGAGACTAATGTGTAAATGTATCCTCCTTAATTGTGGAGTGCTAAGAGTAAACCATCCATACTGTTAGTTACCTCCATGCTTGGGAGGAGATGAATGGAGTATAACAACACGATCTCAGTATCTCACTTAAAGGTGCCACTGAACTCAAACTTTGTTCAGCTGTTATGGGTGAGTGATCCTTTGAAATTTTTTTGGAACAAAGATGCTTTTCAACAGATTAAAGATGTAAAATTTCCAGAAGCCTTGAAGCTATTGTGGGGGACTTCCTGGAAAAAATGTTGAAGAACAATTTAAATATATGCTATACTTTTGTGTCAAATGTAAGGTTGAAGGGTTGCCTAAAAGAAGACTAAAAAGTACAGTGGGATAAATAGGTGCGAAGGAGTCTATAGACAGATGAGGATGGGGAGGACTGGTTGGCTGGAAGACTTGCTGATGGAGATTGGGAAAGGGAGAAGCTAAAAGAAGGGAAAGTAAATAGTTAAATGCTGAGGGTCTTTTCGGGAAGAGAAGCATAACTAGAAAGATAAAAAGCATACTGTGCCTGTTTTGACAAGGAGGCCTGGGGATTTCAGTGTTAGCAATGATGGAACCTAGCAGTTCGAAAGGAAGAAATTGCAAGTAGATAAATAGGTACCACTTCAGTGGGAAGGTAACAGCGTTCCGTGTTTCTTGGTGCGCCACATGACCACGGAAACGTCTTCGGACAGCGCTGGCTCTTCGGCTTTGAAACGGAGATGAGCACCACAACCCTAGAGTCGGATTTGACTGGCTTTCGAGCAAGGGAACCTTTACCTTTTACTTAATGATGGAAAAAGGTTTGAGAGCAAAACCAACCTTGAGAATGGAACATGTGGCAATGCTCTTTGTATGCACCTGGATTTACTTGGGTGCAAATAGGGTGTCAAGGTTTCTCCCCCTCACCCCAGTCCAGGGATGGGGAGAGAAACCAAGCGTTCAGGAACAATTAAACAAACTCCAGGAGAATGTCTGTACACTCTCCAGGCTTTATCGGAAGTCTGCCACCAGGATCTCTCGTTAACCAGTCCCACGCACGCCACAGCTCCGGAGCAGAGATCCCAAACTCCTTCTTGCTTTATTGGACTGACCCACTTTACCAGCTCTGCACCAGGGCTGCAAACAATTAAGTACCACAGTGGTAGCCTCCTTAGGCAAATGGCTTTAGACACAAGATTCAGTCTTAGAGATCAGGTTGCAACAAAGAAAACAAGTCCAGATAATATTGATTATATATTATCTTTATTCAGTGCACAAGCATGCATATAACATGAGACTAGCAAAAGATAAGAAACAAAAGGTATCTATAGCTTGTTCAGCTCTAGCTATACAATAGAGGTATGTCATAGTAACCAGGCGTTTAGAGGTATCAGGTGAAATAGTCCAAGGTCTCACCAGGGGATCTTGAAAAGGAACCCCATGGTGCTGTGGGCAGCTAAGTCCAGCTGGGCTGCCTAGTAGTCTCACTCCATGTCAACAGCAAACAGTTGACAAGCACGCAGGCAGTCCAAAATAACTCTGTTTTCCAGAGAGAAACTCACTTAACTCTCCTTACTCCCCTGTTTCCCATATGGATCATTGCAGATATACATACACACACACCCGTCACCACCAGGCATGGCCATTTACCCAATAGTGAGAGAGTGGGAAGGCGTTCCAATCTCTGGTTACCATGCGTTGTCAGGCAAGGTATGTTTTGATTGGCTAGGAGTTGGGCATCCCACTCCAGCCTCTTCCATTGACCATGTGTCATGTCAGGGAATGCTTTTGATGTGCTAATGTACTGGACATAGCTCGTCCCATGCTTGGGAAGGCGCCGGCAAGTCACTCTCTCTTGGCAGAGGTGTCAAAGTGTCTTGTATATGGAGATGTGGCCTGGCCATCTGGCAAGCCATTTGCACAGGTGACAGGAATAACGCGGCAGTGTTACCAGCTAGGGCCATTTGGCCCAAGCAGGGAGGATTTTAGAAAAGCCTTTTTCTATACATAGGGGAAGCAGTAATATTGGCTGAAATTGGTGTGAGGGGGATATATATGCAAGTCTGATTAGGAAATCAGATACTGGGTTTCAGTATGCCTGTAGAATGCAGTTCAACAAGTGAGCTACTTAAGAAAGGAGAAAAATCCTTTGTTGTCCAGTTGTAAATATGATTACGCAGAACTAAGTACCACTGAGGTCTGTAAACATGCATTTGTAGAAGTATAATCTTCATTTGACTAGCAGGACTTGGGGAAATATTTTACAAAATGCAGGGTTCATATAGACTCTTGAGTGGAAAATTACTGGATAATGTAATGTTCTCATGTTCCTATGTGATAGTGTGGCTTTTCATCATGAGTGTGGTATGATTTTCCTTTCCTTCTTCAGGGAACACTTGCAGGTGATAAGAATGAAATTTTATTTTCTGAATTCAGCATTAACTACAACAATGAACCACTGATGTACAGAAAGGGAACGGTTCTAGTGTGGCAAAAGGTAAAATCATTTATATGTGCACATATGTGGATATAAAACGGTAGCATGGGGTTTATTAAAAATATTATCCAACATATTTTGGGACTTTGTGAAAAGTGAATAGGCTTTCTCCAATTTCCCATGTACTGAGCTCACGGCTGTATTTTTATTTATCAATTTAGAAACATTTATTAGCTATGTTTTCTCCCTTGCAGAACTCAGGGTGGCTTACAATATAAATAAAACAATTATTTAAAAAGCCACAGTAAAAACAAAATAAATAAAATGGCAACTATAAAAACACATAGAAGGTTGCAATTTAAAACTTCCAGTTAGGACTGCCAATAAAAAAGCTAAATTAATTACAGTGCAGTGCTAAATAAAATTGTCTTCTGCCTCCAGAAGATCAAAAGTGAGGGGGCCAGGCACACCTCCATGGGGAGATTGTTCCATAATTGTGACGCTGCCACTGAAAAGACCCTGTCTCATGTGCCCATCAGATGAGCTTCTTTGATTGGTGGGATAGTCAGGAGGGCCTTTCCATGTGATCTTAATTCCCAGGTAGAAATGTATGGGAGAAGATGGTCCTTCAGGTACCCCAATCCCAAGACATGTAGGGATTTAAAGAACAAAACCAACACCTTGAATTATGCTCATGAGCAGGTCATAGCTGGTGTAACCACTGTAGGATTAGGGTCATATGCTCCCAGTAGCTGGCTCCAACCAGCAGTCCAGTTCTGCACTAGGTGCAGCTTCCGAACACTTTTCAAGGGTAGCCCCTGGTAGAGTTCATGGCAGTATTCCAGTCTAGATGTAACAGAGGCATTGATCACTGTGTCTAGATCTGATCGACCTAGGAACTGGAGCAGCTGGCTCACCAGCCAAAACTGGGCAAAACCAGAGTGAGTACTGCTTGACACAGGTGACTGCTGTGTCAAGCAGCACTCCCAGGCTACAAACCTGGCTTTTCAATGGAAGTATAACCCCATCCAAGACAGGAGAAATCTTGAGTCCCTGGTCTGCCTTTCTACTAACCCAGAGAATCTCTATCTTGTCAGGATTAAGTTTCAGCTTGTTCACCCTCAGCCCATTACTGACTTCAGGCACTGGTTCAGAACATGGACTTAACTACCATTTTAAGTGGTGTTTACCACTAGAACTGTGCCTGTCATTGAAATGCTGGAACTTCTTTAGCGGTGGCTACTTCTAGTTTCAAGTATAGCTAATTCTAGAAACCCAGTAATTATTACTCCTCCTCACGAAGTTGGAAAAGGACAGCTGTACAGAGTTGTCTGTGTTGAGCTTGGATGGCTATACCTTTTTATATCTTCAAGAATCTTTCCCTGTCCCTGGACATTGCACTTATTTTTTTCTTTTAATCTAGGCTGTCTGCATTATGCACTAAATATCATGGAATGTTTTGTTCTTTAAGTAAAAAGATTATTCGGTTAAGTCACAAAAATTCAATTTGTATTTATAATGTAATAGTTGCAAACATTTGTATTGGTTTAATTAATCTGTGATGTTAGTGCATCACATTTTGTGACATCATGCTAATATTGTTGGGCATAGCCCTGTCTTAAGTGTTTTTTGTGCTATGTAATAGAGCCTCATCTTTCATGATTTGCCACTTGTATTTTCACTTATGCATGGGCTGGGTATCAACCATGTGATTCAGCTAGTTCTGAACACATGAAGCCCCCCCCCCCCCCCATCAGTTAATGCATTGAGGGAATGCAGGCATGAGCATTCTGCCTCCACCCCCCTGTCTCCTCATGATCACTTTGACTCAAGCAGCCATGGCAAATTGGCTTGTGTGGCCCAGTCCTGTCAATGAGTCCAGCTTGGATGACTTGCAGGACCACCATGGCCATTGGGCCCAGATAAGGTGCCTGTTGGCTGCTTGGTAGGGAAGATTGTGGAAGAGGAGGAGTGTCCTTTCCCAGAGTTTTGTCTCCCAGTCCACCCCGTCAACATTCATGGATTTTACCATTTGTGATGATCCTGGGAATGGATCCTGTGCAAAAGGAGAGGGTGTGCTGTAACAGCAACCTGAAATTGTTTGACTTTTAACCTTATGTGTCTATATTAAAACAGGTTTAAAACAATGTCTGCTCTTAGGTAAAAAAAGAAAGTGGTAATTCTGGCAAGGAAGCAACCAAAACAAATGCCCCCCCCCCCCCCGGAAAAACACTACTGTGTTGGATCCAGTACTTTTTCTGTGAGCAGAAGACCTTTACTTACACAAAGGAGGGAGAGAAATTGCCACTGATTTTTCTCTTGCACTACAAACTTCTACAGTGTACCCCATGCCATTGTGAGAGTCCCCAGCAACTGAGAACAGTATTTTGAGGAATCCAGTAGTTTGTGGTGGCTAAGGGGAAGGTCAGAAATAGCTGTTCTGTGGGTGGCGTTTGTATCCATTCCATAGTATCAATTGTAGTGTAATGTTTTCACTTATATTGTAACTTAATTTTAGTGGCCTACTTATATTTTTGCAAATATTCTCCATATGAGCATCATTGTATTCAGTGTGCAGAAAGGCTCTGAACACGTTTGATAAACTGGGCTGAGGCACATACATATTTGCCTGTGGTGCAACAGAAATTAGATCATCTTGTATTTTAGGGTTACAGGGGCAATAACTTTGGGGCATTAAGCAACTCAAATGATTAATGAAGGCTTCTCCAGTTTCCTGAAAGTGGATGCTTCTTCCAGTGTTTTGGAAGCATGGGCTGTGCTGAAAAAGATGAAGTATTGAGGTTGGAGTGGGGCCACAAGCTGTAATTCCATTAAACTTTAATGGAACGTTAGTTGATTAATCAGTGAGATCTCTTTTTAACCAGTGAGACTGCAAGCTGGTTTATTTTTTAAGTCTGTAGCAATGAATAACTTTTGTTTACTCAAATTTTGATTACTCCTTCATTATCTCAAAAAGGTACTGCTGTTACAATTTAATAGTATGCAAATTTATGAGACAGAAGATTAAGATTTTTTTTTTATCTAAGCTGCCTTGAATACATAAAGTGGAAACATTGGTTATATATTTTAAAATAATTCTTTAGGCAATTTACACCCTTTGTTTGGAATGAGAAATCCAGATCCATGAATGAAGTTCACTGAATGACTTCTCACAGCTTATTCTGTCTCATGAATGTTTATGATACTGATGGTGCAGTCTTAAACAGAGTACACTGTTCTGAGCCTATTTAGGATTGCCCTTGGAAAATACCGTTCTGGGATGCTTGGGAGGGGATGCATGAGGAGTTAAGACAGTCTTTTAAATCTGTACAAATAGGCAACTAGACAATAATTCTAAACAACAAAGCTTAACCCACACATGCTGCAGCAGACACTGTCTTAAAAGCGGGGGAGGACCTCATGTACAAACATGAAACTGACTTGTATCCAGTCACACCACTGGTCCATGTAGCTAAGAATTGTTACTGGCAGAGGCTGTCTTGGGTCTCCGAAGACCCACTTGCAGATAGCATCTGCCATCTGTAGTTCTTGTAAGTACTTGCATAAAAACTCTCTTTGTAAAATAGAATGCTCATAATACATTGGGCAGGTGGGGTTTTTTTGGAAGAATTATTTTAAATTGATTGAGCTAACCAGTTGATTGGTTAAATATTGCCGTATAAGATAATCTTGAATAGCTTTCTAGTCTTGAAGTACTTCAATTCAGTGATTCTTTGTCATTTGAATTTATAGGTAAATCAAGTTATTAGGAAAAAAATTAAAATTCCCAAAGAAACAGAAGAGAAGGAAATTGAAGTGACCCGGGTAAAGAATACACCAGTACCTTTGCATTGTGACATCATTGGAGATCAATTCTGGGACCAGTATCCTGAAATCCTAGTTGATGATAGCTGACTTTCTGTTTCTTATCTGGATTTTGCTGTGAATGACTCTGTATAGTTTGTTCTGCAAGGATCATATCAGGGAAGAAGAATGGAAAAATTGTATGGCCCAATATGGGTATTACAGTATAAACAAATGCAGTATCCACGTCTGCAGATGATACAGGAAAATAAATCCATGTTTTATCTTTTTAAAAGCTGTGTTAGTGTTGATATTTATAACGCTGTGATTGTGTAGGATTTCCCTCCAGACTTGTGAGGTGCTGTATAACAGTATCATCATAGTGGCTAACATTATTGTGGAAAAGGATGCTTTTAATTTAGGCTGTTGTCCTCAAAGGCACTCTGCTGTTGCAAGTCCCATGAGATGTTAAGATGCCCATTGTAAACTTGGAAAACATTTAGACTCCTACTTCAAATTAAGTTCTATCATCAGGGAGCCAAGTTACAAATTATCCTAGTTGCTAATGTCTCTGGATTATACGAGTGATAAACAAAATACCCTGGCAAGTAGCTGAAACTAATTAGGAAGTTTTCTCTCCAGTGTAAATTACTTCTGGCCTTTTTGAAAGCTCTGGAAACATAATTTCCCTCTGTAATCTTACATTTATTGTTTGGACTCTCTCCTTGCTGCTTTACTGATTATTAGAAAAGGTCTCAGGTGGCCATACTGGAGTAATAAAGTTATTGCATAAGGGGGGTATCACAACAGGACATATTTGCAGGTCATGCTCTCATTTTTCTGCTGCCTGGGAAGCTATACAGTTCCTGCTGTTGAGGACTGTGGCAACCAGCTTGCAGAAAGTTCTTGTTTCCTGTTCAAAGAGTTTGTGTTGGTCTTCTGCATCGCCCTGTTTCAGAGCCAAGAAATAACAAGACTTGTGCCAAGAGAAAAAGATGAAGTATTTTGGAGCAGTTGTGAGACTTGCATGAGCACCTGACTGTGCATAGTGTGGCCTTATGACATAGACTGGAAGAGGATGAAATGAGTAGGATAGTCTCCTGCTGATATCCTGTTCCTCATCCTCTGCCTTTTCTTATTGTTTCCTTAAGAGCCAGTTTGGTGTAGTGGTTAAGTGCGCAGACTCTAATCTGGGAGAACCGGGTTTGATTCCTCACTCCTCCACTTGCACCTGCTGATGTGACCTTGGGTCAGTCACAAGCTCTGGCACAGCTGTCCTTAAAAAA